GAAACCTCTCATGAGAGGGTTTCTCATGCTTAAGAGTTTTAGCCTCTACTCCAGAGTGCACGCTTGGAGAGGTGCTGCTCGCAGTCTGAGGGGGTCTCCCCCGAGCCTGGATCCGAATGAGGCCGCATGACCTGCTCCATGAGGTGCTTCAGCAGGTGGAGTCTTTCACTAGTTTGGAGAGGGAAGGAACAGGGCCGCCCAGAGGATTCAGGGGGCCTGGGGTCTTTGGCGGCGGGGATCCTTCCGCTCTAGGTCTTCAGGGCACTTCAGCGGCGGGTCCCGGAGCGAGTGAAGGACCCGCCGCCGAATTGCTGCTGAAGATCCAGAGCAGAAGAAGCCCTCGCCACCGCATTGCTGCCGAAGACCCGGAGCATAAGAAGAAGCAGCTCCGGGTCTTCGGCAGCGGGTCCTTCACTCGATCCGGGTGTGTTCGGCGGCACTGAAGGACCTGCCGATGAAAACTCTCGTGGGGGCCCCTGAAAACTCTTGTGGGGGCCCCCTACAGGGTCCGGGGCAAATTACCCCACTTGTCCCGTCCCTCCTCCCCCCGGGTGGCCCTGGGAAGGAACAGCAGATAATGCCTTTGGTGAGGCGATAAAGGGCGTGCTGGTGGTCTTTTGCTGATGGAGAAGGAACAGGGGCAGGAGACACAACTCTCTTGGGACTCTTGGCATAGTTCCTCTCTACACGGAGAAGCTTCCCTGGGCAGGGAGAACTAAGCTCACTATACTAATTATAAAACAACACTATAATAAACTAAAAAAAAATCACTAAAACTATTTACAAATTGTTTTACTGATATTAAAATAGGAAGATTGAAGCGGACACAGAATTTTTATTCAGGCCATGAGGTGGTAAGAAGAGATGTTGGTTTGCCCTGGCCTTTATATCCTTACTTCAGAGCATGAGGAGAACAACCGCACATGTGCGGACCAATGGACCCGGCTTACAAAAGTTCTCTAGACTCAGGTACGTGGTACGTGTACATACTCTTGACCATCACTCAAGAAGAACCAGTCCTTCATGGACAGGTCAGCTCTCATCCAATATTGCATCTAGCCAGTTATGCAATGATCTATCGTGGTGGCAATGCGGTAGGGGTTCCTTCTCGAGCCAGTACAGAACTGGTTTGCCATCTGAAGCATGAGCTTCGATTTCTTATTTGCCTACCTCACAAGTATACAATAAAGATTTTAAAACTAGCTAATGTTTGGACTACTTTCTGATGAGATACTAAAAGAAAGCTAGGTATTATTACTACTTTTATTGTATGCTTTTTGCTTGCACAGATACAAAGGCTATTAGTGGAAATAAATGGTCCAGCACTTAAAACAAAAAACAAGAGATTCCCAGGTACAGTATTTGACTCCATGTCCTCTTATGCAGACTTTCTTTGACAAACACTTAGCAAGCGCCACACTCAGGTTAGGATTTTTAGTGGAGACTAAGGGAGATAGGTGCCCAAATCCCACTGAAAGTCAGCGGCTGTTGGGTGTCTAACTCCTGTAGGCTGCTTTGAAAATCCACCCCTGCAAAGAATTGGAGCTTTTGAATCAAACTCTCTCTCTGAAGTTTTACATGCTGTGATTGTGCATAACAAGAGAAAGACACATGGCTCTTCTGCTTTCTTCAAAAAGAAAATTCTCTGTGAATATTAGCTGCAGATCTAAGGAAAACTAATGCCCAGTGTCCCATTAAATGGGAGATTGATTAAGTGACAAATGCCAGAGCAAGTTGACATTATGGGTCTGTGCAACTGCTCACTTTAACCAATGCATCCATGACACAAAAGTACCTTCACTTTCCCTGGTTGGTGCACATCCAAAGTAAAGGATTTAAAAACTGAACAAAGTAGAGCAGCTAAAGGGTTTTCTGTAGGCCATGTGACTGCTAGGAGTATTTGTCATTAAAATGTTGGTGGTCCACTTAATTTCTGCATGATCAAAGTCCTTAAAACTTAACTTTCTTTTAGCCGCACAGAGCTATGTTTATTTGCAGCTTTGCTCTGTTTATTCTGGCTAAAGGGAGATATTCAGCATGTTTTGGATCAGGGGTCTGCTGTTCAACTGTTCAGTCCTGAGTGACTGGTGTTTAAATGAGGGCTGACTTGTTCTCTGCAGCAGCTGGCACAAGTTATGCCAAAAGAACATGCTGATGACTATGAAGTTATGACGACATGAAAAAAGAAAAGGCATCATTATTAGAGCTGTGCAAGTAACTGATTTTTTTTTGTTGGTTTGCTTGTGATCCGAAAAATCAAATAAAATCATTTTGGGTCAACTTGAAACTGATTTTTTTCAGAAGTTCTGACAAAATGAAAGGTCAAAAAATTTGTTTCAAGGTGTTTTGGCATTTTTAACTGTTTTTTTTTTCTAAAAAATAAACGCAAATCAACTCCCTTGTAAATCTAGCCAGAAAAAGCAAAACATTTCATTTCAGAAATGGCATAATGAACCATTTTAATATTTCTAATTTTTTCCCTCTTTTTTCCCCACGGAAACAATTTGCCCAAATTGACACAAATTTGTGAAATGTTGCGGTCAACCTGAATCTGCATTTTTCAGTGAAAAATTTGTCGGCCAAATTTTTTGGCCTAGCTCTAATCCTAATGAAAAAAATATCTTGCTCAGGATGACTAGCGTTAATTATTCAAAAAACATAAATTGCTGCCACTCAGCGTGGCTGTATTTCAGTGATGGATACTGTGATCCTTGTGTGTAACTTTCAATACTGGTTTGTAAATCACTTTGACATCCTTTGGGCTGAAAGGATGCTATATAAAAAACGGACATGCAAAATGTACACAGTGCCAGTACTTTTTTTCAATTTATCAACGCGTAACAGAGAACTCTTGAAAGCTGTTCCATTTAATCACCCTGAGGCAGATTGTCAGCTGTTGTAAATTGTCACAGCTCCGTTGACTTACGTGAAGCTACAACAATTACACCAGCTGAAGAGCTGCCCTTTGCATTTAAATAACATACTCCATCCCAAAGGAAAGTGCTTTGCAAACCAATATTCAAAATCACACACAGGGACCACACTGGAGTTGCTTCTATTTACACTAGGGCTTAGACTGACCTTCAGGATTTATATATAATATATGGAGACATACCTATCTCATAGAACTGGAAGGGACCCTGAAAGGTCATTGAGTCCAGCCCCCTGCCTTCACTAGCAGGACCAAGTACTGATTTTGCCCCAGATTCCTAAGTGGCCCCCTCAAGGATTGAACTCACAATCCTGGGTTTAGCAGGCCAATGCTCAAACCACTGAGCTATCCCTCCCTCCTAAAACACTGAAACTGTCTTTATTGCCTTATTACTGTTAATATTGCAGACCAACAATTTTTAGCAAGACCACTGAAGATCCTACTTGAGCTGTGAAGCAATTAAAAAAATACACTGAATTTCTCAGGCAATCTCAGTGTTACGCCTATTAAATTCCGTTATAATACAAAGTACTCACACATTTGTAAATGCCTACATACCTGTAAATGCCCTCTACTAGGATGAGAATTTTTTTCCATGCTCTGCGACTTCGAGGCTGCCCATATGCTATTGCATCCCTCAGTAATTTCTCTAGGCTCTGCATGTCTTTATTTAAAAATAAAAGAAAGGAAGAAAACAAAATATTAACATAAGGGGCTTTAAGAGGAAGTTTTAAGTTCTTTCTGGCCACTATTTTTTTTTTAATAAGAAATCGACAGAGAAATGTCTCCTAAATGCACACTTCCGTTGTACAAAGGCTACAGGCCTAAATATTTGATTTAATTTACCTGAATTTAATCTTGTGATAATATGATCAGAAGAGCTTTCTGCAACTATGCACCTCAACGGGGAAAAACTTTTCCTTTAACCATTAGAAACTCTCAGCTTCTCTATTTAAAAATAAAACGGAAACACTTTTGTCAGCTCCTGATTTTAACTGTCTATAATTCTTTAGTTGCACTGAAGAAATGCACAGCATCCTGAGTGTCACAGGGGGAGATTTTCAAATGAGTCTAAGGGATTTAAGAGCACAAGCCCTACTGAAAGTCAATGACACATGAAAATTTTCCCCTACAAGTGCAAGCTTGTTGTCATAAAATCTATGGGCCAGATCCTTAATTAGTATAAATCACCTTAACTTCCTTGACGTCTATGGAGGACATTGACGGACACAAGCTGAGGATCTAGTCCTATAGTTTTCTGATTATTACAATTAGGGACAAAAGAGGAGATTAAGTAGACAGATTATAATTTGTATGTATTTTGCTTCCCTCCATCAGCACCTTCCCCTTTCACTAAGGGCACGTCTACACTTACAGTGCTGCAGCTGACCGATGCTCTATGCTAATGAAAAAGAGCTCTCCCGTTACCATAAAAACCCACCCCCGTGAGCGGCAGAAGCTATGTTGGCAGGAGAAGCTCTCCTGCTGACTTAGCACTGTGCATACTAGCACTTATGCCGGCATCACTTATGTCTCTCATGGGGTGGAATATTCACACCCGAGTGACATAAATTTTGCCGACATACGCGGTAGTGTAGTCACAGCCTTAGACTCCAAATCTGAGGAGAATTGAAGCAATTACATAATTTTAAGACACAAAAGTCACCACAATGGCAATACACTTGTAACAAAAAATGTTAAGAATGTTATATACAATAATTCAGGCGACAGGATCGTGACGAGAAATAAGTTTTAGAAGAGTAAATAGTATCGTGGTCATAACCTGCTGTGTTTAACACAGTCATTAAAAACAGACTGGTAACAAAACAGAATCGCTGAAAAGTTATTTCATTATGATCACCACAGGCAAATGCCACAGAACTTTGTTTATTTCATTTGAAATTCATTTAGCAGAATAGAGACTCGGTAAGCCTACTTCAGTTAAGCGGCTTTGGGTCAGTTCCATGCATAATATCAGCAAATGCTTGGATCTTGATGCATGGAGCAGAGCAAGAAGAGGAATCTTGTCCTTTACAAGAAAGGTGGGGAGTGGGAAAAGACTAAGGAGAGAGAAAATATGCAAATGGGTACAAATGCCCTGAAGGGACTCTGCTTCTTAGCCAAAAAGACAATGTTTGGCATTGATGAGGCTTTCCTTTGAAAGAAGCCTGAAGTAGTGTTAGAAACTTTGTTGCTCCCTCAGGCATTGGTTATGGACAATACGAAGCCAATTAGATACTTTTTTAAAAGTGGAATGGCAAGTACAAAAGAAAAAGAAAAGAATGTACAAAGATTAGGGCAGTACCAAAATTTGGCTCCTAATTGAGAATGTTTAAAAATAGATGATACAGGGTCTTGAAACTTTAGTTATTAGTCATCGGGGGTAACATACAGAGTATAGGGGGATGTTAGTATTTTTATATTGGATAGCACATAACACATACAGTCTGCAATATCCCCAATGGGGGGGTACAAGGTGGACGAATCAGGGTATAGTCAGCAAGCAATGAGGGTACATCACTCATACAGGAATTACAGGCAGTCATAGGTATAAGTAAGTGGGCCGAGTAATGAGGATAGGAGGACCCTCATATGGTGGAGTTGAGTTCGGTTCGGTGGGTTCAGGGGATAAGGTCCAACAGAGGAAGTCTTCAGGTCTCTTCCTCATTGTGGGTGCGTGAAGTCACGCCGGCTCACTCTCAGTATTGGTGGTGGCCGGTGATGTGCTCTGTATAAATGTCCCGGGACCACCGGATAGTGTCTGAGACCATTAGAGTCACATGAGCCGTTTTGGATAAAACCTCTTTGAAGCGGATTACTTCCTGCAGTTTGAGAGAACCTGGAAGTACACATTCCAAAATGCCTCAAGACAATACCCTGCATGGCATTTGGAAATGTGCAGTCCCAATTTCCCGACTGCTGCCAGAACTAGGATCGAGCTGGTGGTGGATACATGAGGGATGGGTCTGTATCTACTTCATTTGGCTGAACCCTTTTCTCTACCACTCTACTGTGGTTTAGACGTGGGTCCATATTCTTGGATCAGATCACCTTCAAATTTGGGTGGGAAATTCAATTTCAGATTGTGAACTGGGATCTGATCTGAATTTCATAGGTGGCCTTTACCACTAAGAAAGGGGTCAACCAGAACGTTAGATCTGAATACCTTTGAATTTGGGTGTTTGAAACACAGAGCTAGATCTGAATTCTGCAATTCAGGCTCAATGCTCTGTCTCACGTTCACCAAGCATTCTGGAGTGCTTGAAGCCCATGAGCACAATGCAATTTGCAGTGCCTTAGAATTCAGTGACCATTGTAGAAGCAGTGGGTGGCACTAGAGCATTAGGGCCCTGTACTCTCCATTAAAGTGATTTGATAGTTTGACACCCATGAAAATAGTCCTGTGTGTCTGTGTTTGCAGGTTGGTGGCTGGGAGAAGACAATGATACCTTACAAACACTGCTGGCATGTTTTGTATTCACTAATTCCACATTTTCTGCAATAAAACTTGAATGCAGTGTTATTCTTTTAGCATTACGACATCTAATCTTGATCTTTATATTTCTAAGGGCTTGTCTATACTTACGCGCTGGTTCGGCGGCAGGCAATCGAACTTCTGGGATCGAATTATCGCGTCTTGTCTACACGCGAAAAATCCAACCCAGAAGTGCCCCCCCCTA